TTGCTGCGCTCGCTGGCTCGCTGGGTCATATTGATCGACCGCCACGCCAATATCGATTGCGCAAACAGGCGAACACACGAACGCACGAGAGCGAAAACATAACCTCCTCCCAACTCCGTTGGCGGAGGTAATAATAACTCCATTTTAACATAGGATTTCTATGATTTTGAGCATACATTAGGAAATATATATCACCATTTTTTAAATGGTATCTCCAAAATGTTCAGAATAAAGTAGCAAATGTAGCATGTAATGCTGGATAGCCAAGGTTTTGATGATATGGTATGAAATGACCGCATTCATGGGTTCAACCGCTTTTTGCAGGAGACAAGATTCCGGCAGCGATATCTCGACTTGATCCTCAACGCTTCGGTGCGGGAGAAGTTCATCGTGCGAGCCAAGATCATCAACTATATACGCACGTTCTTAGACAACATGGGATTCCTGGAGGTACGTCTGTGTGTGTACGTGTGTGCGTGCGTGTACATGCGTTAGTGTGTGGTTGTGTGCGTGCGTGCGTGCGTGCGCATGTGTGTACATGTGTGTGTGTGTGTGTGTGTGCGTGTATGTGTGGTTGTGCCTGTGTTCGTGTGTGCGTGCGTGTGTGCATGCGTGCGTGCGTGTGCGTGCGTGTGGGCGCATGCATGCGTGATATATAGAGAGACCGTGTTCCAAGTCGGATTATAGTCGTTCACTTCCTCTTCTGACTTGTGCTACTGGGCTTGCCCTCACCGCCAGTAATAGTCTACTAGCCAGCCTAGTGAACCTAGAAATGTCGAGTACTATAAGGTTTTATGTTGGAAATGCAATATACAGGTCATAAGGACTCACAAACTGCCGGATGCTAATTTGCATATGTGTAGCATTTTGCATAATCGGCCTAATTAGCGTATTAATTAGGTCAAATCACTAAATCAAGAATATCTTCCTTAGTAATCCACATAGAGACTTCATTCGTGTGTCTAGACCCATGTTTTCGACACTAAGCAATTGATCTGGCATGGATTCAAACCCCTACCATCCTTCCGACTGCCAGAAATCCAATATGGCTGCCATGCATAATGAGGTAAACCGTAAAATCACCATAACTGAGCAACTGTTGGAAGATATAGAGACTTTGTTTTGATGTTTAGGCTCATGTTCTTAACACCAAGGATTCCATCGTCTATAGGACTTCTATATTTAACAGTAAGTTATTATTATATATGAAAATGTTAAATATTATGATGCAGCTAGATCATGGAATACATAGATGAACACCCAACACCATCAAACTACTTACTATTCGCCTTCGACTTCATGGTTGTGATCATTCTCTCCAGTCTCTAGATCCTCTTCTCCTTCCTTCTGCTCTTTATATCTCGTTGTGTCAGTGAGTTACAACACTCATTTCCTCCTTCACACACATAGTAGCTGGTACATGACAATCCATTTGCTGCACAACCACACTTCCTGCTGCAGGCATTTCCCTCTGCTCGGCAGCTGCAGCTAATGACGTCCATGAGGTTTTTTGGTGCGGTAGGTTCTTTTGACAGCACTGGTACCACTTCATCGTTTACAGTAACTTCCCATCCATAGTTAGTGATTTGGACAGCAGGAGGGTCAGCCTTGTCTGCAGCCTTCCATAGCATCATTTGGAGATGTGCTCTCCGGATAGGGAGTCTTAGGTTGATGTCTGTTGGTGGAAGGGACTTCACGGATGGAGAGTCCGACATTAAATCAGGGAGTATTTGACTCCGGACTCCTGTTAATTTCGCACCCTGTTGTTGTCTCACGCAGGCATGGTGAAGAGCATCTTCGGCACGTACAAGGTCGTGTTGCACCCTGATGGACCTGAAGGTCGTGCGGTAGAGGTCGACTACACGCCGCCGTTCCGCCGCATCAGCATGCTTCCCGCGATCGAGAAGGCACTGTCCGTCAAGCTGCCTCCGTACGACCAGCTGAACACGCCAGGTATGCGCGCGCTGGCACCTATCCGCACCATCTGTACACTGTGTCTGATTCACGTATAGGACCCATACCAGCTGTCATGTGAGTACGTGTGACCACGCCCGGTACACACTCACTCAGTCACACCGCTGTACAGTGACTTTCATTAAAGACTTTTCTTTAAATTAATTTACCTTGTAAAATTAATTGTTTTAAGTTACTTTTTGTAAAATTAAAGATTATTTGCTTGCGTTCCGTCACCATTTCATCACTTCTTCATTATCGTCATCTCCTATCATCTCGCTTTTATTGTCGTTGTCGTCGACGTGTCTGATCATAATCTCTCGCCGGTGCGTGATTGGTGCAATCTCGCCGGCGCGTGATTGGTGCAATCTCGCCTGTGTGCGTGATTGGTGCAATCTTGCTGCTGCGACATTGCAGAGACGAATCAGATGCTGCGAGAGCTTTGTAAGACGCACGGAGTGGAGTGCCCGCCACCGCTCACGTCCGCACGCCTGCTAGACAAGCTCGTCGGATGCTTCCTTGAGGAAGACTGCATCAATCCGACCTTCATCTGTGACCATCCGGTACTGATGAGCCCGTTAGCTAAGTGGTAAGTGCTTCATCTGTGACCATCCGGTACTGATGAGCCCGTTAGCTAAGTGGTAAGTGCTCCATCTGTGACCATCCGGTACTGATGAGCCCATTAGCTAAGTGGTAAGTGCTCCCGTAACATCGCACCACCCGTAAAGAGAAGCTCGATATATCCGAGGGACTGGCGAAGGAGGGAGACTAACGTCGGTGAAATTGTCGCACGTCTGCCGTTTGTAGATTTCCCGGTGTCGCGGTGAGCGTGTCGCGTAGAGATCATCGCTTGCGTTTGTCTTATGTTTTCTTGTGTCTCCCACGTATGTACCGTCTCGTTGCTCGTCTAGGCACAGATCGATACCGGGTCTGACGGAGAGGTTTGAGCTGTTCGTCATGCAGAAGGAGATCTGTAACGCCTACACCGAGCTGAACGACCCCGTCGTGCAGCGACAACGCTTCGAGTCGCAGGCCAAGGTGAGGAGCAGCAGACAGCGCATGCGCGCAAGCAGCGCTAGCAACAACGGCGAGAGAGCGAGGCCAGTCATTGTGACAGCAGCATGGAGTAATAGCCGCAGCGCAGCGGCGCAATAGTGAGCAGCGCGTGGTTAGTGTCAGCAACGCAGTAGTAAGCGTAGTGATGCTGCACAATAGTAATGACAGACAGTGGTGGGATGGTGCCTAATAACATATATACTAAAACAAGCAACAACATAATAATAATATATAATGTAAGTGTGGATTGCCGGACAAGGTGCAGGCGACGACGAGGCACGCTGGTAGATGTACTTCTGCAGGGCGCTGGTATGGCCTGCCACCACGCCGGCTTGGGGCTGGGCTCGACGGCTAGCTATGTTCCTCATTTGCTCAACATAAGTTACAGCTACCGACGCATTCAGTTACCTGATGTCGACAGGTTATAGTAGTTTGAGTGATGATATTCAAAGGCTGTAGTTAAGGATGATTATAGCAAAGGTCACGATGTGAGCAGCGTGATGATGTCAGGTCATTGGGTGAGCGGTTTGATGCGTGTCATAGGTGAGGGGCGCACGACTTTAGCAGCTGTGATGTCAAGGTTATGGTGTGAGCGTGATTGTGTCATAGGTACGCGTTTAGCGCTGGTGATGTACATGGTCACAACGCGAGGGGCTTGTGATGTATATGTTATACAGCGGATCGGGTAATTGGATTTATTCTCAGTATTCTGTGATGAGGTGAGGTTACTGCCAATTGTTTTTTGCTCGCTCAGTTTTGCGTTGGTTTTTTTCAGGAGGTGCTGTTCTTCCCTGCAATGAAGCCAGATCTACAGGGCGGCGCGGCCGACGTCGCTCAACCACCAGAGGCCAGCACTAGCCAATAATGTTAACGACTCACTAATACAAGCAAGCTCATGTTGAACAACTGCCTCGGAAACGTTTTGCGCTCTTTTCTCGTGAATACGTGAATCTGGTTTGTGGTAAACGTGGTCATGTGCGTGACGAAGATGAACTCTAGGCTGTATTGAAACTCGCGGTGAATTTTCTGTTCCTGAACATTGTTTTCGTTGGCGGTTGTTGTCGTTTCTTGTACAATGCGTTTAATATAAACTTAAATTATGTGACCAAAACCTACTGTTGCTAGTATGAAGACGTTTTTTCTCTCTCTGTCTACACGAACAATGTTACCGGGGCTAACTGCCACAGCTACACCAGTTAGTATTTGCTGGGAGATATACATACCTCCTACACATAAAACTGTTATTTACAGATACCAGATAGATTAAAAAATAGATTCATTGCATTTCATTTCATTTCATATTTACATACGGGACATCAGTGGGAGGAAAAATCGAAGTCATTGGTATAAACGCTTGCAAAGTCTCTTGACTGATGAACGGCGACCGACGTTCGAGGCCCAATTCCCCATATATTAATATAGGCATAACGCGGAACCCAGGGCGTGATGCTGCGAGAAAAGCGAATATTAA